CCTGGTCAGTGCAGCGCACCTGGACAGTGCAGCGCACCTGGACAGTGTAGCGCACCTGGACAGTGCAGTGCACCTGGACAATGTAGTACACCTGGACAGTTCTTTGAGAGTTGTTCATTCCATAAAGGTAGGGAGACTCTAAAGAAGGACATTAGGGCTTCAGCCAGGTCCCTGTCTTTCCATATGCATAATGACCAAAAGAAGGTTCTAAAAGGAACAGGCAAAAGAGCTCAGTGGGTAAAGGCACTTGACACCAGTCCTAATGACCTGAGTTCAGTCCCGGGATCTGTGTAGGGGAAGGAAAAGAACTGACTCCCTTAAGTTGTCCTCTGGCCTCCATATCTACACTATAGCATGTAGCCATGCACATATACACACATGCACAGAGAGTGTGGGCACCAAATAAATAAATAATCAAAGAAATAAATGTAATTTTAAAAAGGTTGAAGTCCCAAGTTTCTGATCCCTTGTCAGGAGCCAAGAGGAGGCTTCAAGTGGTACACTGGACACCACAGGCCCCAGAGTTTTCCAGAGGCCTCCACATGCAAGGTCTAGACCCTATTCTTACCTCTGTTACCTGGAAAAAACCAAAACTGCAAGATAAAACTGCACACACACAGTACACACATATCCATGCAGGCAAAATACTCATACACATAAAATAAAATGAATGAATTTTTTAAATATTTATTTATTATGTATACAGTGCAGGCCAGAAGAGGGTACCAAGACTCATTACAGATGGCTGTGGAACACCATATGGTTGCTGGGGATTGAACTCAGGATCTTTGGAAGAACAGGCAAAGCTCTTAACCACTGAGCCATCTCTCCAGCCCCAAATAAATGAATCTTTAAAAGAACAAAACAAATGGGGAAAAAAAGAGGAAAAATCCCAGTCATGGAAGCATTAAAATGTCTTTATGTGTTTCTTGATCCCCAACTCCACCCCAATTCCTCAAGCTTAGAAATACCTTTTTGGTGCTAGGCATTGTAGTGGCATTTCCATTTGTATTTTAATAAATAAAGCTTGCCTGAAGATCAGAGAGTAAAACAGCCACACTGGTCAGCCTTACAGACCAGGCAGTGGTGACACACACCTTTAATCCCAATAGCCACACTAGTTCGCCATAGAAACTGGGCAGTAGCACTGCATGCCTTTAATCCTAGCCTACAGAGGAATATAAGACAGGAGGAGAAAACTCTCAGACACGGCCTCATCCCGAGATTCCTGGAGCCTATGCCTGGCTGGTTTGCTTTTCTGACCTTCAGGTTGAACCCCAATATCTGTCTCTGGGTTTTTATTAATCATGCTACAAGGCATGTATTTGTAATCCCAAAGCCAGGGAGGTAGAGGCATGAGGATTAGGAGTTCAAAATCAGGAGACCCTATCTCAAATACAAAAACAAACACAAACGGAGAGGGGTGTTGAAGGAAGGGGTAAAGGGGGGAGGGGGAAGGAGCCCTTCTCTGGAGCAGTCTCTGCAGTTTTCTCCAGTCCTATCCAGGCACTCACTCATTTCATCTGCCCCATCACATAGGGTGGGTGCCTAGGGACCAGGATGGGGCTCGTTTGCTCCCTGACATTGTCATCAACACAGCATCTCCATAGTTGTCTAAAAAGCGAAAGAAAACTAGGAAGATTTCCAAGTCACGTGGTGAGAATGTGTCACAGAGCCAAGGAATTCCACTCTATAATCCTGATTGTGTTGGTCGAAGCCAGTCCTACCCCACCTGTTCCACCAGGCCACTTCTGTGAATGTGGAGCAGGTCACCCTGCAGGACCCCTGGTGTTTATCACCTCCTCAGCCTCAGGGTCCTTATCTCTTGAAGTAGTCTAAGATCTCACTAAGGTCGGGGTAGGGGACATTGGGTACAGACGTAGAGAAGCATTCTGCAAAGTTAAAGGACTTGGGCACTCCAGAAGGCATGGGCGACACGGAGGACCCTGGCATAGCAGGCGAGCTAAACGCAATCCCGAGCTGGCTGCAAATCACAGGCAGGAAAGCACACCTCTGCTGGCTTGAAGATGAGGAGGGCAGGGCTGGGTAGATGCCATGTACTGGGGGAGGTGGGGGCACTGGATCTGGACCAGCACAAGGCATCTTAAGGAGGTGCGACGGTCCAGCGGCCCTTCTTCTGCTGTCCACGGCCACGCCCCTCGCCGTGGCCAACTTGCCAACGCGCGCGACCTCCAGCACCCCTGGGCTGTGCGCG